TGCTCTTACTAAAGAATGTAATTTAAAACAATGTGTGTCTGCCGGTTGCATGATTCGAGGGCAGGAAAAATCTGCCAGCACTTTGGAAACCAGGTTTTACTGTCCCAGTGTCACTGAAGAACTTAACATCACTGTTAGGGGGTTGAGGTTTATTCCATTACGGCATTGCCATATATCCTAACACCTTAAGTAGGGCATTTGAGCCACAGACTCGGGGTCAATTCAACAACAGCTAATAAAACTTTCACTTTAAACACAGTTAAGGTATCGTGACCCTCCCAGCAACATCAATAGACTTTACTGCTGGTCGCCAGTCACCCCTCCTCCACATTACTTCAGTTAGAGTTAAGAACTGTCAAGGCAGCCTTCATAAGCAAAGTTTTATTCCTTTTTACATAGCAGCTAGATCTCTTCAGCTCTCTTCAGTCTTCAACTCCCTTAAACATGAAGAGAGCAATTAAGGAGAAAAAAAAAAAAAGCATTCATTTTAGTTCAGAAATTTGGCTTTTCAGACTTACAGACATAAAGAAATTTTGCAGAAAAATATAAACCAAATTAGATGTTCCATTGTTTCTTACCGAGCCATTTGTAGAAGAAATAAAGCAAAACTAGCATGACACAACAGATGACAACAAACAAGATGACTGTTAGAGGGGTGAAAGTAACATTTTCCTCCTTCTTTCGTCTTGTTTCTCTCTCTCCAGGATTTGCCATAGCTTTCAAGTTCTCACTGTTTTAAGGAAGTCACATACACATTTATCTCAGATGACAGATTCTGAAAGTTTTACCAAGGTCAGAATTGTTTGTTATAAAGCATGTTACAACATTTTACTTTAAACTTTCATATTATCATTAATTCAAAAATTTCAGAAAAACGGTATGCTGATTTTTGAGTTTCTCTCCATTTAAATGGAGATGTGCCCTCTTCACTGAGCTTAAATCACAAGGAAACGATTCTTGAGAGCCTTTCCTTCCAACGATGATGGACTCATCAGCTTGCTAAGAAGCAACCCCCAGTCAAAATCCCAAACAGCATGAGCAAAAAGAGTCCAATAACAAAACCCTGGAAGCTCCTTTTCACAATGTGTGCCCTCAGCTGCCTCAGTGCATCACCTCCAGCTTCAGGACTTCTTGGGCTAAATGTAGGCAGCCACTTTTGACTTACTGCACTTTTATGATAAGTCAAAATCATAATGTATATTGCACACGGCTTTGAAATCTCGACTATAAACATTTCATTAAGTGTCTTCAAAAATGTAAGTGTTAGCAAAAGGAAGCTTGCTAGCACCAGTTCTTTCACACTTCTGCCTCATAATTAAAAGAGTAAAGGAATGGAAACAGGAACACAGAGACTTTCACTGAGAGTAAAAATTCTTTTGGTTTCTGGGCATACATACTCCATATTTATGCCTCACCAGAGAATGAGGAAACTGAAATTGTTGTGTTTTACTCTCTTCTTTGAGCAGACAGATCTGCTACTCTTTGGTACAGACACTGGTGAAACTCGCCCATCAGATAACATGTTCCCAATGAAACCCAGGACCTACCTACAAAATGCTGAATTCAGCACTGAAACAACCACCTTCAAAAGAAAGCCCATAGGAGCAAGACATTTTGTTAGATGAATCACTGCCTTAGAGGACACGCTTTGAATAAGCGGCTTTAAAAAAAAAAAAGAAAGAAAGAAAGAAAAGCACCCTAGATTTATGAAAGTGCACTTCTAACAAGCTTAAGGTAATTACATCTAGTTTTCGTTCAGTATGGGAGACAGCATTACATTTTGTTATATTAACATTCAGTGCAGCCACACCTTATAGCACTGCAGGGGAAAGAAGCAGCATAATCAGATCCAGACTTTCAACTCCCCCCTCTGCCCCCGCCCCTTTCTATTTCTTTCATCTCTTTCAAAAAATCACGAAGATTTGCATAACAACTAGTGGGAAAGAGGAAGCCTTTTATCACTCAAGATCCACTCCCACTTTTCTGTGAATCAGGGCAGCAGACCAGCATGGGGAGCGGGACACCCGGGCAGGACGCTGGCCTGTTTGGGATGCACAGACATCCAAGAAGCAACGCAGAGAAATCCTAAATAGCCAGCTGAGGGCAAGCAGTCGTACAGATCCCTGCCAGTGCAGGCAGTACGTACAATGTACACACACATGTACCTTTCCCAAACCTGCGCTGGTCCCGATATGGTCAAGCTGGTCAGGGCAGCTGGAAGGCAGCTGTTGGCATTGATTTGAGGCTTCATATTGCAGCCCACTTGATTTTAAAGATGCCATCACTAAAATACCTACATTGTCACAAATATTGGTGTATTATGATATTAATTTTAAGATATTTGACAATTTGTCAAAATATTAAATTAGAATTAAATACCCAACTCTTACCAGTTTATGCCCAAATCCAAAAAGTTATTTGACCCAAGTTGCTCAAGAAGCTCATGGCAAAGCAGATAAAGAATTAGAGGATCTACGTGCAACTAACTAGTGCCACAAAGGAAATTACTCCTCACTGATCACAGCCTTAGTTTTCACAAAATTTCACATCTTGAACAAACTTACAGTTCTGATACTCCACTCCAGTAGCCTCCCAGTGCTACAGTAAACACAGCAATTACGAAGATGACAACCATACTGCAGTCAAACTCTGGCAAAGGCGGTGAATAGAGAGTCACATTAACTTCATTTCCCAGAGTCTGAAAAATAGCAAACAAGTGAGTTCATAAGGACAAGAAGGAATTATTTTGCTTATTTTCAATACAATGAACATCATAATTTCCTGCTCTTAACTTACACAATGTGAAGAGCAAATTTTCAGCTTACTGCACAAGATATGCTTTCCATGCCACTTTCCAGGATGCTCAGGTTTGAAAGCAGCCCTACTGCTTGCTTAGGGAACAGATACCAGAAAAGTATCATTGTGCCTCGTGAAGTCTTTCAACACTTCTGAGAACTTGTGACTCTAGCCCAAACACGTTTTTCATCCTCAAGTATACCGAGTGCAACTGAAGATTCTGCACTGCAGTAGAGCTGATTTGGAGGCAGGTTACCTTGAAATACACAGATTACAAGGCCCACTGAGATACACGAGGGAAGGTCTGTCTCTAGTTCCTGAGACCAAGAAACTCCTGGTTCAGAGGCAGGCAAGATGCTTCAGACAGGTGTCCTCTCGGGAGATGGTGAAAAATTAAGGTGGCAGAAGTCATTAACTAACAGTTTTTCAGCAACGTGATTTTGATGGATTCAAAACAAGAGGAAGAATAAAAAATTGTCTGGAAGCTCTTACAAGAAAAGAAAGATAATAGCAAGAAACACACATCTGAAGGACACTAAAAGAGACTGAAGAGAATAAAGAGATATAGATGATACCGAAATGTACAAAAAAATTGAAAGCAAAACTAAGATGCCTTAACTTGACTGAAAGATAAGATTCAAGAAACAAGGATGATAATTTGAAATGGAAGAAAGGAGAAAGGTTTGCTGTCGTAGGTGAAGTCAGTCAGGATATCTATAGCAATCCTGCAGTGAAAGCAGACTTTAGAGATGTGGCAGAAAAACAGATTTGTTAACAGCCTACACGTGGGATAAAAGCAAAAGAAGAGCTGAACATGTCAGACAAGTTTGGCTACAGGAAGATCAAACTGGCAGTGGAGAGACCGAATGGGAAGTTCAGTAGTCAGAGGAATACACCAGCCATCTGTGCAGAAAGCTGATTCAATTCAGTATCTGAATTAGATGATTGCAGATATTAACCTTAGTGCAGCCTAAAGAAGTCAGAATCATTCCTTTGCTTTAAGTTTGTTACGAAAGTTCAGGTAATCAGATTTTTTAAACCAGGTGAAAACACATCAAGAACTAGTGAAACATTATAGTTGTCTGATGTGAACATTTTAGATAAAGGCAAAAAAAATCTGTTCAATTACAATTAATTCAATTATGTATTTACTATTCAATTCTCCCCTTATTTTTTCCATTTTTCAATTCTGAAGTTTTTCTTATAAGTTCTAAAATTCTTATAAAGTAGAATTCATGTTAGAATCCATATTGATTGCTTCCTTACTGTTCTGCTCCTTGCCAAGAACTTGCTAAGTGTCCATTCCCATCACAGGAGAACCAGAGTGAAAGGCATCTCATCGGCTCTCACTCCTGCAGAAGAGCTGGCCGCTTACTAGAAAGCTTGCGACGTTCTGCTCTTGCTACCAAAACTCATCACATATCTGATGCAAGTGGTAAAAGCCAACAGAAATGAAGTCTAATAAGAACGAGTACAGAGAATGCTTATATAAACTGGTTCCCTTTAGACTGGTATCATCTCTCTTAATTAAAAGAAAGAGAGAAAGCTGGAGGCCTTGGAAAAGTTCAAACAAAAATGCAACTAGAAATACAACTAGACAGTAGGAAGGGTGCAACGGCTGCCAGATCCTAGAGCAGCATCTGTCATTCAAAACAACTGCCAGTGACATGACGAATGGCTCTGGCAAAAACTACATCAGAACTAAGAAAGGATCACTTGCAGCCGAGGCTTTGTTTCCCACACCTTTTATGAAAGCAGCTTTCATTTTAAGACAAAGCTGAATTTCTTGATGTCTCGTACAGCCGTTGAACCATTGGGCACACTGATCTACTAGAAAAGCTACTTCACTCAATTGTTATAGCTACAGAGACCTGATTCTACGTGACTCCATCCCAAACAATACCAGGCAATAAACTGCTGCAGAGAGAATTCAGAACAAACCAGGGGTCTAACCTTGCCCTAATTTTCTTCTTCCTGTTCCTATATCTCAAAAACACTCAAAAATGACATCCATCTTTCCTGAAGGAACAAATTTGAAGACAACAGAGGATAATCTAAAACCAAAATGCAGTATTCCTCAATGATTATGGCAGAGTGAAAAAAGGCATCACAAACTTTCAGTCATGGCAGTGCTTTGCATGAACCAACCTTTAGTGAGTGAACAAACATAAAACAACCCAAATCCTATATACATATTTATGTATATATATATATATATCTAGGCACAGTTTTAGTTTGCATACTTACCTAAGACAACTTTCCATGGCAGCTCTAAAGATTAAGAGCAGAAATAGTGAAAAGCTTGCAATTCAAGGAGCTAAAATTATGCAGATTAGTACTGGCCTCTGCTATGCATATGAAAATAGTGCAACTGCAAAAGTTAGCACTTATTTAACACTAAGCCAAAACAAAGTGAAACAGTACGTTTTCTTGTTCAAACCCTCCTCAATATTCTGTAACATATTATTAGATGTCAACACAAAATAAAACAAAAAACAAATTTCCTTTTTTGCCTAAAAGCGTAGGAAATACCACAACTGCCACATTTTAAAGATACATGCTTGGTATCTCACCATGAGTTCATCACCTCTGACCATACTACCCAAATTCTCTGTAACAGATGCTGTCATGCTATGGAAAAAGAAACAATCAACACAAAAAAAAAAAAAAAAAAAAAGCAATACAGCAAGTTATTAGCACATGTAAATGGTGCTGCTTGGCTACAAGGTGTCATGCCACCACATAAAAGTTTAACTATCTTCCTTTCTGTGCTGACAGAATAGACCTCTCGGGCTAGAGCTTTCTATGCATGTCAGGCATCTGCAATTCCATTTATACCTACTGGATGGCTGTTCAGCTGTAAGGCTTCTAAGACAACTCTACCTACAACTGGGAATTATTTTTCATATTCTTAGTCTTCTAACCTGGCATTCTGTAAAATTAACTTGAAGATGAAAGACAAGAGTTTCCATGACTTAAAATCTTCCTCTTCTGTGAAACTGAGAACAGCATCTATGCACGTGGAGGTCATCACAAAAACACCCGTACGTGACAAGTTTTTGAACAAATGAATAAAATCATTTTAAGTTTACATGATCTATAACATGCTGAAATTATACTACTTACCAGCTGCATATCCATTACATCACTATATCTTATAAGAGCAATTGGAAGAGTCACATCTTTAAACTCAGTCTTGTTATCTGTAAGGGGAGACTAGAAGAGAAAGCATCAGTGATAAGAATGTCCAGCTAACTGCCTGAGCAGGTGGCTATAAACAGATTATCCTTTAAATTTCCATGTATTTATAGGATTTAAATTTCCATGTAAATTCCCATCACTTTCTAATGGAGATAGAAATAGGTCAGGGAAAACAGACAATACTACCAGACACCTCTGAATTCACAAAGGTCTAATACTATTGCAGCACTATACGAAACAAGTCAAAACTCAATTTATATTCCCAAAGCTTTTAAAGAGTTCTAACTCGTTAAAAATCACCCAAAGCTATTCTGAAATGGAAAATATCTGCCCATATATTTTCACTTGTAATAGAGAGCAAAAAAGCAGCAAAAATATCCGTTGAGACACTTCAAAAGGCCTTTTTTACTTCCAACTCTGGATGACAATTTCCTGCTTTTTTTTTGCTGCACATTGTGTTTAAAACAAATTATCACCTAAGATTAAAGGGCGTTCAGAATACACCAGAATTAGGAAATAATGAAGACAAGTATTTGCATTCAGAAACATGAATAAAGACACAAGCAACAAGTTAAAAACAGAATTCAGCTATAGATTGTTTCCAATGATAGAACAGGGTTGCAGAGAGTTAACTCTGAATGACCCTCTGGTCACAGAAGGCGCAGGTGCACTATCACCGTGCCCTGCAGAGCAGGCGAACTGCCGGAATCCCACATACTCGTGGGACTTCTCTCAGCTATCTCTGCACAACACTACATCGGGCCAATTTGATAAAACATGAAAATCACATGTTGCAACTTACTAGCCCAGGTTTACTGGCAATCAGCAGCATTTTAGCACCCAGACTTTCGGCAATTATCGCTTTCTCCAGAAAAGTGCAGTTTCCTCGCATCACTACAACTGCTTTGTCCTTCAGCAAGCCAGGAGCAACTTCCGAAGAATTGCAGAGTACCGTAGAAGTCAGGTTTTCCAGGATCCTGAAAGTCTGTAGAGAGAAGGGGAAAGATAAAAAGAGGAAAAACAGTACTGCAAAATAAGCTAGAACTCTAGACTAATACGCTTCCTAATCTCAGTTTTGCAATAAAGCCAAAAGAAGTCAGGAACATGTAATCAGATTACCAGCTGCTGCAGACTGCAATACTGAGGAACTTTTAAAATAGTGTATCGCTGAAATACTCGGCTCTTGCTAAATGCCATTTCACAGCAGACTATAATTTATACAAAAGAAATCAGTATATAGGAAGATCATTGCTGGTTGTTCTGGAGAGTCCAAGTGTATACTTTGTGACATTTGCAGATCTCAAAAGCCAAAAAAACATGGATCCAGATGCAATATAACCAGTTCTGAAGCGTAACGCTTGTTGAAAAACAATACGTATATTTGACAAAACAGTATTTGCTTAAACAAGATTTCTGTCCTTATTTTAAAGTTCAAATTAAGATTGATAGTGATTTTAAAGCCACAATCAGTTTTCTTCAGTTCGTCAAGACATCTCAGTGGCCAGTGTAGCACAGTAGGATGTAGGATGCTTGAGCAGAGGATGATTGTAGCTTCATTTTGTATCAAGTTAACCTGTTTACAAATGACAGCAGAGAAGGGGGTGGAAATACTGCGGCCTTGATCCCTTCCAAGCACAAATTAGTTCCTGTTTATATTAAAAGTGCCAAAGAAAAAAAAATTGCTTCTTTGAGCCAAAGTAGGATGTGAGACAGAAAAACACTCAAAGAATACGGCAGAATAACAGACTCCAGATAATCTGCTATTCCACCACAGGTTTGCAAGGCAGTTAAACAGAGGATGAACCCAATGAGCCAATAAGCACACTGCACCAGGATGAGCCATTTGTTTCTCAAGTTTGTGGCATTTTTGTAAACAAGTATACAAAAAACTGTACTCCCAAATCTAAACTAACCTGCACATACTGATGACACTTGAGATATAGAAAAAAAAACAAAACCAAAAACCACAACAATATCAGAAGTGCATTCAAAACTAGCTTCTAAACAGAGAGAATACAATTTTATAAAACTTCAGAAGTTGTTTTTCTTTTTTCTTTTTAAGTGGAGAGATGTTTATTATGGAGATCATTTAAGGTGGGGGAATCAAAATCCCAAAGTTAAGTATTAGAGCTGATCCAAATTCATATTGGCTTTTACTTTTCTTAGGAAGTATGATTATAAATTCCTTACAGCATTGTTGAGGCTTCCAGGAAGAGTCGTCCAATTGGAATTGTATATTATACAGTAATCCTTTGTTTTTGGAGGTACACCATTTCCAGCAGCATGCAAGATTCCCTCTTCTGCCCTTATCTGCAATAGACCAGAATTTTCTGAATTAAACAAAACCCGGTGCAGACATCCTTCTAAAAAGATGCTAGGAAGACTTGGCAAGGAGATGTACTCGATTAATTTACTTTCTATGATGACCGATTCCATGAAAGAGGTAAATAGCGAGGAAGAAGGAAAACAGGTAAGAAAAATGTCACTATATTATGCTACTATTCTCATTTCAAAAACAATGTATCCATTACATGGATATATGTGTCACTGAGAACAATACTAGCAAGAAATGCAGGCGAGTGATTTCAGAATAAAGACTCTACGCTTTCTACAAGAGTGTAAGGTTTTAAATAGAAAGTAATTAAAACACTACATTAAAAAAGTGAATTATAGCCTTTCATTTGCCAGCTTGCAGGCTTTGGAATGCCCTCTACCAATAATGCGGCAATTCTTGGAATATTTTTAAATCAGACAGTTATAAACATTAAGAGATTAATTAGTATACTTCGAGTGAAAAATTGTTCAGGAAAATCCTTGTCCCTCTTTAATATTACTCTCAAAGTCTCACATGTACTGTGACACTTTCTGACACTTAAAAAACATACACACATTATTAAAATGATAGTTTTAAGAATATACACTTATCCCAAAGTATTAATATACTAATAAAGGTCAACTTTCTAAGCAGATAATCAATCAGATTGAGAATTAAAAACAGTTACTGCTACAGAGTAGTGAAAACAAATAAGCATCGCTTATCTTAAAACGTCACTTTTAAAAAGAGGTCGATGATCTCATTTGACTCTGACTGACCTTCATATCAGGAAGTGTCAGGACATAAAAAGAAATGAAACCTGCTGCAGATTCCAGATTTGCCTGAGAGAACACTGAGATATTAGGCCCTAGGTACACTAAGATGTTAAGATAAGAAGTAGCCACTGGTGTGGGGAGAAAGCCCACATATTTGTCAGGTGCAAAAGTCTAATTATTAACAGCTCCACTGAGGCATTTCTCCCCAGGCCAGCATATCAGTATTCTACAGCAAGTGAGACCTAGGGAGAAAAAGAAAAACATGTGACATTGTTTCAGAGGTCTATGTCTGCCTGGTTTGAATAGCAAAAATCCTTCTTCAGAGGAATCCATTATATTGGCTATAGAGCACAAACATCTGCTGGGAAAACTGTGTCAAAGGGCCTGAGTACATTAACTGTTTAAAATAGAACAATTCTAGCTAACAGCTCAAGAACAAGTTCCTCTGTGATTTATGATTATTACAGAAATCATCAAGCTTTCCTCTTAAAATGCACTCCTCTAAAAAACATAAACTAATGCAGAATTATGTGCAACAAGGACTTCCAACAGGCCTAAAACTAACAGTGATTATTTGCTTATTTGATATGCACATTTGGCTTGGCAAGCCTCCCTTCCCTGGGAGGGCAATCAGGGAGAGCAATTCTGCTTATAAAATGGGGGAGAGAATACCACGGAGTGATGCTTATCCCGACACATTCATCGATGAAATAAAATTAAAAAAACAAGTGTTTGGAAATTAAAGATAAACATTACATGCTACATCTTATTTGGAGCATCCCTACAGCCCTACTGCATGTGACTAAAGGGTTTTTTTATATTTATTTTTGCTACTGCACCAGCTTCCTTGTTTCACAGCAGAAAAGGGCTGCTAGTCTGAATAAAAAGTCTTGCAGTAAATTTTGCTACTAAGGAGCAGACAACAAATCTTACCCTTGTCATTCTTCAAAAACACGAATTTCTTATTGAGCACAACATTTGCAATCATGCTACTTAAGCAGAGAACTAAGACTCTGTCCTAAACAGATTAACCTACTTGCACAGGGTGAACTAGCTCCAGCAGCAGAACCTCCCCACATGGAGGAAAGGCTTTACAGCTGCCCCGGCTCCCAAGCATCAGCATCACCTTAACTTTCCAGTTTTCTAGTCACTTAGCTTCCAACAAACTCTTTGCTGTTTTTGACAGCTGGTTCCTTCGCCATATCTATTTCATTTAATAGCTTTAAACTCTCCTGAATTATTTCTCGTTTTGGCAGAGCAGAGGCCAACTCATGCTGTTTCCCATCTTCCCTATGTCCCTGCTAGGGCAGCTGCATAGGCTTGGGCTGACCTGTTGGAATTGCCAATTAGCTGCGGGAAAGCACTGGAAATCCCACATTTTATGTCGGGCAAATTACAACACAAACCTCAGAAACATAAAGAAGTAGGAAAAGCACAGGCACGAACGGAACAAGCAGGATTTCATGGTTGTGCAAGCTGCGCCATGACTCTCTCCCTGGTTCCCACGCAGATGAAGGGGCTGGTCATGGGGCTCTCTGGCCATTACTCCGCAGGAGAACCAGGGCTGCGCGTTAAAGCAGGTGAATTGCTGTAGTGGCCCTGCCACGTACAGGCGGCACCTCCCGGAGCACCAGCTCCTCAGGCTGTTCCAGTCCTTGGATGCAGTCCTTGAGGCTGAATGACCTGACCTGATCACTCGCTGCCCTGAGAACCGGCTCTCTGCGCACCTGCAGAGCGAGGGCGCACGTAGGGCCCGAAGAAAACCCACACTATGTAGTTAAAGATGCCAACGAGGGCTTCTCGCGGGAGAGCACTCTGGATCCCAGCCTTACCGATCCAAGCACGTTTAAAAAGCCCCAAGGACGGTGTAAAAGCTGGCAGGGCGGGCGG